ATATATGCTTGTGAGTACATCGGTTTGTATACATACATGTACGCGTGCATATATAGGTGATGCAAAGTCCCGGTATACCCGTGGCATCATTACGGGATAGACAGTGCCGACTTGTAAGAAGTTAACAGTTACGTCTGTCTTGGACAAGAAGTGAATATGCGTAATCCCCATCCGCCGAATGCCAGTTGTCGCAAATCCCATAGCATCACAAGGCGTCGAACCAGAAGGACCGTGGCCACCTCTTGAATATCGCTGTGGCGAAGGCAGTGACATACGGATGCAAAAACTGATCACTGACGAAAGCTGAAGAACGAACGCTGGCTGTAACGGAAAAACCGATAGGGCGAAGAATGTTTGTTTTATCTCCCCACGACGATATAAACAATCGGACTTTCCGTCAGATGAGCGACACTCAGAATATCATTATGGTCATGCGAAAAAGTAAAATCCTATAGGCAGGATATGTTACCCGCCTCGCCGATAACTGATGGACGATGCGCAATAGTGAGTGGTATTCCAAGAAAGAAAGCGATCATTCGGGTGAACCCCGATGAGATTGCGCACTGCGCTAGGAGCGTTTGAGCATTTTAGTAACGTCATTAGCGGGGGAGTCTCACACTGATAGTCCGAGCAACCTTGTTACTCTTGGAATGTATACAAGCATGTGTATACGCATGTATAAGTGTATATGTGTACGTACGTGTGAGTATGCGCACACATACGTGTGTATGTGAGTGAATATGTGTTATTTTCCAGAACATTATGGTTTTTTTTCCAGGAAATTCTTGCGTTTTCTTTCAAAAAATGTTGTCTTTCTGGATTTGTGCACTGTCGTTTTAATGATACAAAATTATTGTCAAATTGCCCGCAAGGAACGCAGAACTTTTATAGCTTCTAAAATTCTTCAGAAAAATGCAGTCGGCCAAGAACTGTATGAACAGGTGTTCTATGCACTGGATCTGGATGAGCGCGATTACTTCGGGTTACAGTTCATGGATCATTATCATGTACAGGTTATATAGCTTGTGATTTACACATTCACTTCGAGCTTGTCGATTCTTTTTCCACATTTTTGTCGCTAAAGTTTGGGCCCAGGTTATGATGAACTAATTTTGCGTGAAATATCACTGCTTAGCGGGATCATAAATATTAGATCAGAAATTGATGTTTTTAGAAAATGACCGCTTGAGCTGTGTGGGTATCCCATGTTAATGATTTTACTAGGGTATTCCCAAATGCCGATAGTTGTAATAAGCCCTTTGTTCGTGGGCTGCATGCTTCGAGTCAATACCACCACAAATGTATGTGCGCCACCTCTTCGGGATTGCCGAGTTATCGTTTTCTTACTTACTTATGCACCTCGTCCACCGATTGTCAGCAAAGTGAATAACATGCTCTGCACAACGGATTTTACTTTTTCATAGAATCACAGTGATTTCCTGCACGTTGCTTGTCTGCCACTGAGTTTGATTGTTTGTGTGATCGCGAAAAGACATGCCAAGCATCCTTCGCTCCAACGCTTTCTCTTTCACAACCAGCGCTCGCTCTTTAGCTTTCGTAAATCATAAGCACTGGATCGGAAATTGGTGTTTTTTGAAAGATGCCGGCACATCAAGCTTACATACGAAATTTGGAACAAACCAGTTTAATTTTAGCATTGGTTGGATCCAGTAAAACGAATTACCAAACAAGTACCAATTGGACCACCGTTCACATTTCGTTTTCGCGTCAAATTTTACACATCAGAGCCGAATAATTTGCGCGAAGAGTTGACCAGGTTAATGTTAGAGTTTTTAAATTTCTAGGAAAAATTCTTTTATTGTTTCAATTCTTGAAAAGATTTTTTTTTATTTTTTGAAATAATTTAAAATGAGAACCCCAAACTTTTTGTGATGCAGTGATTTTGCTTCGGCAATGCCTGATTTCGAAAGAAACTGGAAAAAAACTTTATACGATTTTTTTCACGCACCGTTGTTAGAAGAACCGTTGAAGGATTTGATGCAGAGCTGGTCTTTTTGTTATCTGCCAGATCATAAACCAATCTTCTCCAGAAACAGATTTGAAGAGAGAGTAGGGCGAGGTTCCAACAAATCAAATCTGTCAAAGCAGAATTTCTCAAAAAGGAAAATGATTTTTATCAATTTGTTGAGTGAAAACTTTTCAAAATTTTTTTATAAACTTTTCTTTTGAAAGCATCAACACTAAAAAATCTTAAAAATAAATATCAACGAAATCACTAAAATTTCACTACCTTTCAAAAAAATATTTCTTGTTTTAACATTTTTTTATACAATATGTTTGTTTCTTATTTTGAAGTTCTTTCCTTATTGAATAGTATTTATAATAACAAAAACACGACTCTTTTTTATTAAATTTTTATCTCTTGATATTAAATTTAGCGAAAAATTCGAACTCAAAAAATCACTCGCTTTCTTTTTTGAAAAATTTTTATCATTGTTGCGAAAAAGCCGATGCGTGTGCTACAGTCAATTTTTTATTTACTTCAGAAATTTATGCAGAGAAAATTTTAAAAAAATTATAGCATTTTTTGTAGGTATCAGTTTTTCTTGCAACTGAAACAGGATATTCAGTCTGGAAAACTGGAATGTCCCAGAGAACTAGCTTGTGAGCTCGCTGCACTGGCTCTACAATGTCAGTTTTGCATTTCGCTAATGATATCTTTTCTTGTTTAACCTTTTCAAGGAAAAGAAAGTTTTCTGAAAAATCCTTAAAAACGTCCTTTGTTTTCACGTTTTTGCTACTCGAACGCGAATAACTTTATCATAACAAAAGAATATGGAAAGTAAGTGTAATAAATAGTGCTCGTCTCGCAGCAAGTGTTTCGTTATGAATGTAGAAAATAGTAGAAAAGATTTCTATTTAAAACAGGTTAATGGACTAAAACATCTTAACCTAAATATTTATAAGTGTTGGCAAAGTGCTATCATTCGGATTACTTTTGATCGTCTCTAGTATTCATCGCGAATAAAATGTGAAGAGGATTTCGATTTTTAAACTAAAAAGAATGAATTTGAGTGAATATTATAAAAAATATGTATTTGTAGATACTTAAGACAGCTGCTGATTCTATAGATCTGGTTTTCTGACTTTTGAGCTAGTAACTTTCA